TTTTTTTTTTTTTTGTGTGTGTGTGTGTGTGTAAAGCTTAATCCCAGTTGAGCATTGATGGGTGCGGTTTTGTGGGCCTGCTTGAATGAATGGATGGTTGTGAAAAATGATGTTGGGTTTTTGCAGCAGTTATCTAGGGTTCCTTTTGTTTCGATTAGCATTGTATTCTCTTTCATTTGTTTGTGGTTTTATCCCTGTTGATGGAGCTTCGAATGCCGTTAGTTTTCGAAGTAACATAATGAAAAAGTATGTAAATGTTGAAAGATAATTGACAGATGCATCTGATTTCCGATTATCGTTTGCCAAACTCATCAATAGTTGGTATGTTTAAATTCTGATAGAAAAGAATTGAAGAATATGTTGAGAGAAAGAATCACTACCAAACAAATCATCTTCTAGATTTTTAGTTTGTGTATGTGTATCTGAAGAGAAAACCAATTTTATAATGATACAATGGATTGAAATTTGGTGATTTCAGTTGTGTATATATCATGTTGGAACTCACAAATTAGCTTAAAATTTATTAAGCGTGTCACTCCGCGTTTCCTTCTTTTTTGTGGTAAGTAAACCAGTTTTGAGTTGTCATCACTATTTTTATGCATGTTGAGTTGTTAATACCTTGGCCGATAAATCTTTGTAGCTGCATATGTGCTAGGATGGTGTTGTGATTTTTACAAGTCTCATCAGTTAATAGTTAATATTAAAAGAGAAGCGTGGGATTGATGTTCGCTGTCAAATAGTAGTTCTAATGTCAGAAGTGTAACTTACGACAGCTCATTTATCTTATAAACAGAGTTTTGCCTTCTAACTTGTATTCTTTCAGATTCAAGGTTCACACAGCAAGAACTTTCAGCATGTAAACCTATTCTCACTCCTAAATGGGTTGGTAACTTTGGTGCACTTCATTATATGCCTTCGCGTTTTAGAGAATTTATTTGAATATCAATAATCTTGTTCTTTCTGTTTCAGGTGATTTTGACGTTCTTGCTTGTCGCTTTTGTATTTATTCCCATTGGAGTTGTCTCTCTCATTGCTTCTCGAAATGTATGCCCCAACTTGATCCATTTTTAGAATAATTGCAAAAACTACCATGAGTTTTGTATTATCACACTCACACACACACACACACAAAAAAAAAAAAAAAAAAAAAAAAAAAAACTCTAGTTAACACTCAATCTTTCTGATACCCGTTTGAGAATCGTACTTATTTGACAAATACCTTCTTTTTGAGGAGGTAACTGTAATTTTCAAAATAAATGACAGGGTTTTGTACTTTTGTTGTGAATAGGCTAAACATCAAGGGTAGCATTTGTATTTAACCTTGTAGCTTCTGTTTTTACAAGTGCTCCTCTTGCTAAAAGTTCCTTCTATTTTCACCAAGGTTGTTGAAATTATTGATCGCTATGAGACTGTCTGCATTCCTAAAAAAGACAATGTGTCCGAGGTCGGGTTTATCCAAAGCTCTCAAGACAAAAACTGCAGCAGAACTCTCAGGGTTAGTTTTTTATCTGCGGTTACTGATGCTATCTTAGCTTCTCATCTATCTATAACATTCATTTTCTAAGAGAAAACTTGATCTTCTTACTTCACTTCTCGGTGTCAGGTTTCGAAGTATATGAAGAAACCGATTTATGTTTATTACCAGCTTGACAATTTCTACCAAAATCACCGCAGGTAAGTATGAAGTGCTGTTCCGGGACTAATCTTATGGTTATAAGATGATTGATACCTTATTTATTCTTCTAATTTTCTTCTTTTCCCTTTCTTCTGTAAAATGAACTCAGCTGTTGTTGTTGATTGAGATACTGAATATTTGTTGAACAATAAATTCATTACATTAAAATTATTGTACTTTCACTTGTGTTTTCTTATAGGGTATCAAAAAGCTAATAAACTAATATTTTCTCTCATTACTGCTGTTGTGTAGATTCTTTGCTTATATTTGGGTGTTTTACTGTTTTTATATTGTAAGTTTTTTTTCTGTGGTGGTTTATGTATTTACTGGTGAGTATTAGGTATGTAAAGAGCCGAAGTGATCAACAGTTACGAAACCGAGCGAGTGAGTACGATGTAAAATCATGTAAACCTGAGGACCAAAAAGATAAAAAACGGCCAGTAGTTCCTTGTGGACTTATAGCATGGAGTCTGTTCAACGACACTTACGCCTTCTTTCGTAACAACCAGAAGTTGACTGTCAACAAGAAAGGTATTTCGTGGAAAAGTGATAGAGACTACAAATTCGGAGAAAAAGTCTACCCGAAAAACTTTCAGAATGGGCCTCTGATAGGTGGTGGCAGGCTCGATTCATCTAAACCGGTAAGTCTCTTAGCCATATGGATGTATCAAACAGAAAGTTTGACTCGTTACTAAAATTGTCTTTCTTGGAACAAAATAGTGCAATTAACATTGATTGTATCTTGTATTTTCTGAAACTAAATTATGGCATGAGTTCAAATTTAGAGGGCATTTATTGAATAAAAACAAAAAAAAAAAGAAAAAAATTCACCCCTATTGGCTATTGCTTTCTTTGTATTGTCTTGTGAAAGAATATATTACAATATCATTCTACTAATTTTTTTTTTTTCATGTGTGTGTGTGTGTTTTTCTTTTTTTCTTGATACCACTATCGATAATTGGCATGATCAAAATCGTTCAGGGCATGATTAATTTATTTCAGAGAAGTTGTGTTGGATTAGTTAAGGCTTCTACAGAATTGGATTATGATTAAGTTTCCATGTCACAGTTGAGCGAACAGGAAGATCTTATTGTGTGGATGCGAACTGCAGCTCTTCCAACTTTTAGGAAATTGTATGGGAAAATCGAAGTGGACCTTCAAGTTGATGATGTCATCGATGTCTCGATAGGGAACAATTATAATACTTACAGTTTCAAAGGCAAGAAGACACTTGTTCTTTCTACCAGCAGCTGGCTCGGAGGAAAAAACGAGTTTATTGGTATTGCGTATCTCACAGTGGGTGGATTGTGCATGTTTTTGGCCATGGTTTTCATGCTTATTTATCTAATTAGGCCAAGGTATGCCCTTTTTTTGCCTAGTTCTACAATTCATGCTATTCGGCACATATTTATCGCTTGATTATTGTTCTAATTACTTTTTTTCATGATCGTTTTTTAGGCACTTAGCTTTGTAAGTGTCCTTTCCTTCACATTAAATAGACAAAACTAATCGAAATTTCTCTGTGGCACAGGCAACTTGGAGATCCATCTCATCTGTCGTGGAATCGGAGCTCGGGAGGTCACTAAGCTAAGCTTATAACTGCTGCTTTTGTTGGTTTTCATATGGCATTATGATGCCGACGAGATTGCATTGGCATATCTCGACAAATATGATCGACTTCGAACTTTAGTGTGATTATTATATTATTTATTTTCAGTATTTATGTGTGTATTTATTTAT